ATCAGAATATATAAATATTAGAAATGATATTATCAAGATTTAAAGTAAATTCATCAAGAGCATTCAGTACTGAAGATGTTATTAAATTATTAGAAACAAAAAAAAAATGTAAATGTGGTAATATTGGATTTGTTTTGTATTTTATTAATGTTGATTTACCAAAAAAAGGAGGTTTATGGTTGAGTAGATATATAAAAGATAAAATGACTTAAAAAGGATATATTATAGGAACTACAGGACTTGTTGAATATTATTCGAAAATTGAATATTATCGTAATGGAATAGATCAATATATAAGTTTACCTTTTGATTTAGCAGAAGTAAGTAAGATTTTATAAATATCTCAACACTCTTGATTTTATTAATTTTATAATTATAAATAATATATAATAATTAATTTAGTATTATTAATTAATATATTTAAATATAATCTTAATAATATGTAATCAATTACAATAGTGTCTTCTTAAATCTTAAACTTTTTATAATTCAGCAACTCTTTCAATAATTTCATCTTTTATTCTTTACTTTAATTTTGGTTCATTAAGATGTTCAATTTCTTATAGAAATTCTTATCTTTCTTCAATTTCTTTCATAATTGATGAGAATAGCACTTCTAATTCAATTTAAGGATCTCCTTATAAAGTAGTTGCATCAGATTAATTGTCAGATTTTAGTCCTGTAAAATATAAGTCTTTTTTATGCATTTTCTTAATAGCATTAGATGTAGTTTCAGAATCTTTTAAGAAAGCATTATCATTTTTAATATTAATTTCGGGTAGTTCTGCACCTTTAGGTAATGCTCCTCTTTTATATTTAAATACTCTTTATAACTATTCAATCAATTTTTTTCTATCTTATCCTTAAACAGCAGGTCTGAAAAATTTTCTGCCTTCATAATATTTTTCAATCTCTTTTCTGATTTCAGCTTCTGGTTTTCTTTTTTGAATAAAATCAATGGGAAAATATTTTTATTGTTGTTTAGGTTCTTCTTTTGGATATTCAATAACAGTTTTTTATGGACACGTCTTCTGAGTTTTAACCTTTTCAGAATCTAACTACTCTTGTGTTTTTTATTTGGGTTTAGGATAATTGATTTTTGGTTTTTCATGGGCATTATACAATCCAAACAGTTCCTTTCCTAATGAAGTTTCTTTTCCAAATATTTTGTACAAATTCTTTCTTTCTTCTTTTAGTTAAGGATCATCATCATCAGGTAAAAATTAATTATTCATTTATAATATTTAATAAATGCAAAAAAAGATAAATAAGTGAAGAAGTAAAGAATGATAATCCTTAAAATAGATTAATTTAATTAAAGAGAATGGAAATTATTTAAAATTATCAATATCTAAAAGATTTTACAGGTGGATCTGTGAATCTTATTTTAAGTGTTATTGATACTTATGCTGTTTAATGAATAATAATTTAAAAGAGAAGTTTTATGTACAGCCTTATTGCCAAACAACTATGAATATTACTGCTGGATTCCTATTTATAATATATTCAAATATTTTGAGGTTTTGGATAAACTACATATCTCTTAGGCTATTATGCTTTGGTTGACTTTTTTATAGAATTCTGCTAATATTCTTAAATTCTTAAGAATTGAATGAAAAGACAACAGTTGAATTCATAGAATATAAGATTTAAAAATTATAGAAAATTATATAGTTTAAATAATATATAAAAGAGAAAGTAAAATAAGAATAGAAATAGAATTAGAATTAGGAAATTATTAATAATGAAAATAAATGGAGAATTAAATTTCTTGTTGATTATACTCCAATAAATGAAGAACAAATTAAATATTAATAATCTATTGATTTAACATATGAAAAATAAAAATTTAGAAGATTTAATGAATCAACTAAAATAGTTTACAATGAATATTATTCTTTATTGTTAATTATATATATTAAAATTAATTTGTATTCTAGAATGAAGACACATTTAATTATAGCATTAATTCTAGGATCAATATTTCACTTCATTGTTGATTTAGATTTCCTAAAATAAGTCATAAAAGTTGAAAACTATTCTGGATGTGAATATTTAAATATAGACATTCCAGGAGCAGAAGATATTCTTTAATATGGAGATCACCTCATTTTTGCATCTGGCAATTTGGCTGAAATCTTTGCTAAAGGCAATCCTTAATAATAGTAGGCATCCTTTTACATTGTGAAAAATGCTAATCAATAATCAAAACCAATTTAAATGCATATTTATGGATTTCCATCTAATATTGCATTTTATCCTCATGGATTACATTTATGGAAACATAATTCAATAAATTATATTTTCGCAGTTAATCATGCTTATATTTATGGTGGAGAAAGAGTTGAAATATTCAAAATCATTGATGATTAACATCTTGAATATCAGCATTCAATTATTATGGGTCAATAATATACAGGAACTCTAAAAGATTTGATTGTAGTGTCTCCTGATCGATTTTTGATTACTAAATTAATGCCTTACACCGATCCAATTGAAGGGTAATCAATATTTTAATTGTTAGTCGTAAATAATGGGGATTTGGAATGAATATTAAAAATTTTGGTGTAATGACTCTTAAATTCTAAAATACAAACATTTTAGATTGTTCATTTGATATGAAACATATTCAAATTATTCCAAATTGCCATATTATATCTTCATAATCTTTTAGTTGGACAGGAGGTATAACATGGGATTAAGAAAAGACTGTTTGGGTTGGTGATAATTTAAGAAAAACAATTTATTAATTTAAAATAGAAGAAGAAGGTTTAATAAAAGAAAATTCAATAAAATTACCTCATCAACCTGATAATATTAATTATGATAAAATTAATAAAAGGTTAATTTTTGCTATGAATCCTAAAGGTTATTAAACAATTCTTTTACATTTACACTTAAAAAGTAATGAATTAAGTAGAGAATCAAAATATTCAACATGGAGTAGTGTAGGTGAATATTCTTTAGAGACTAATCAAACAAAAATTATTTATTAATCAAATTAATACATTAGAGGAATTTCAAATGCATTAATAATGCAAGGAAAATTATATTTGAGTAGTTGGGCTGATATAGCACCAATGGTCTGTTATTAATATGAATGATTTATTTAATGTATTTGATAAGATAATATACTGAACAATTATTTTTATGTCGCTAAAAGACTATTGATAAATAAATATTAATGAATAAAATATACTTAAAGCCACTTGATGAGACTTGTGATAATCCTTAGTTACATGAGGCAACCAAAATGTTTCTTACAATGAATAAGGAGAATCACACAAGAGATGAATTACATTACATTTTATAAAGGATGGAAGAACTGCCTTACTTTAAACAATTTGTTTCAGAGAAATTGCAGAAAGGAACATAAAGGAATGATATTTTAGAAGTATTTTTTATGAATATTATTTTTTAGTTGTGTTCTCGTTTGAGAATGGAATATTTTAAGGGGGGAGAAGTGTTGTTCTAAGAGAATGATACATCAAATGATAAACTTTATATGATATAATATGGAGAAGTTATGTTAATGAGATAGAAAAAGATGGATTAATTGATGTCTTTATAGAGATAGAATTCAGAATAGGTTCAATAAACATAACTAAAAATGGCATAAATTCTAAATGCTAAGAAATTTACTAATAAAATTATAAGACATCATAATATTCATAAAGAGACAACAATTTCTAAAGAAGAGAAACAATAATTAGAACATTAATATGGAGAATCTATAAGATTATTGGGTGTAGGTACAGGATTTGGAGAGAAAGCTTTGGTTGAGAATATTCCTAGGTCATTAACAGTAGCATGTTATAGTCATGAATTATTTGTGATAGTTTTAAAGAAAGATGATTTTATTACATATTAGATGACGTTTGAAAAAACAAAGAAAGAGAAATAACAATTAATGTTCAAAATATTCAAAAGTAAAATGAATATTTAATTTAGATGTGAATAATGAATATTCTTCTTAGAGATTAGAAAGTATGATATATAGTTGTTAGACTATAACTTATGATAGAGGAACATAATTAGCAACAGAAGATGATGATGGAGATGTATTCTATTTAGTGATAAATGGAGATTTGACTTTACATAAAAGAATTGATAATCGAAATGTCTCTTTATGTATAATATCTTAAGGACATTTAATTGGAGAAGAAATTATAATTAATAAGACAGGAACATATGAATATAGTTGTATAGTAACATCCTTATTGGCTACAGTAATTGTAATAGATGCAAATGAATTTATACATAAATTTCCAGAAGAATGCAGATTATAATTAATAGAAGATTATGGCCCTAAGACTGCTAATAGATAGAGATTATTATAATTATTGTTATAGAAAAGGAAAACATAAAATTAATTAAATAAAGAATTGACAAATGAATAAGTAAGATTATTGACAGAGATAGATAATGTAATTATTGATTAGAATAAAATTCATATTGTTGAAAGTTTCAAAAAATAAAAAGATATTTAATTGAATTAACATTTTTTAACTAAATATTCAAATCCTAGTGTATAAAATTTTTGTATTGCAAAAATAATAGATAGAGAAAAAACATTTCATAAATTAATAAAAAGTTGTGAATTTTAAGAATTTGATTTTGGTAATGGGAGTAATGATATTATCAAAAGAAGAAGATTTATGTTAGAAAATAAATTAAATTTGAAAAAATCACATGAAAATTATCTAAAACCTTAATTTCATATTCTCCCACTCACTGTTAAAAGAGATTTGGTCAAAAATTTTAGAGTTAATAATAAAAAAAGTGTTTGTTATTCTAATTTCAATATTACAACACTTTAAAATGTTTAAAAGAATAAAAAATAATCCACTTTAAAAATAAAAGAATTAGTGACAAATAGACCTTCGCAATAATAATTTGATAGTTATAGTACACATATGTTCACTTAAATTGATGATAGACAATCACTTTGATTATAGTTTTATGTGATGTATAAATGATTACATATATTAATTTATTTTATGTCGAGATCATCATCCAGAAGAAATAGTCAAGCCATTGGTTCTCTCATTAATTACGCAAACTCTGATGATACATATAATGTCAAAGCAATCCTTTATGAAAATCATAATCATAATCTGTTAATACTTAAAACCCAAAAACTTTATACTTGTATTAGATTTGATAATAAAAGTAATTCATCTTTCTTGTTACAATAACAACGAACAATTAAGTGAATTGTATTTTTAATACATCTAAGCATAAATAGATAAAAATATTCATACAAAACAAGAAGTTGAACAATGGGTTAATTAACAAAATGATGAAGGATTCACAGCATTACATCTTGCAGCTTATCGAGGATCATTAGTATTCATATTTAGAATATTAGAAAACCATTAAATTACTTGAATAATATGGTGCAGATTATACAATTAAAAATTATAATGGTATATTATAACTTCCTATAAAAGAGTTAACTGTTTTACATACAGCATCATAAGGAGATTGTCCATTAACTATATATTATTATTTACAGAAAGGAATACCAATTAATGTAGTGGATAACAAAGGCTCATCCCCACTTCATTGGGCTGCTTATTCAGGTTCATATAATGCTGTAAATTTCTTAATTTCATGGAATGCTAATATAAATCTTTAAGATACAGATACTTCAGTTACACCTTTACATTTAGCTACTATGTAAGCTAATTCTAGAATTGTTCGAAAACTTTTAATGAAAGGAGCAAATCGTTCAATTAAAGATTCTAGTGGTAAAACTCCTTTAGATTTGGCAATTGAGAGTGATTTTAAAACAATTGAAATTATGATTGTAAATTTTCATGATTACTTTAGAGAGATAAAAATGATATTCTTATATTTTGTAATGTTAGATAACCATTTAGACCAGTAGTTCAATAAAGGAATAGTTAAATTGCTTTCATTTCTATGTATATGACTTGTTTTATTTGTACTATACTATTCACCTTCCCATGTAATTATTAATATGTTATAAAATGTAGTTGTTTCTAACACAATATGGATGTGGATATTTTTTACTTTAACTAGTATAACTGTTATATTTTTCTTTATTTCTTGTGCCAAAGATGCTGGAATAGTAAATACAGATCATAAATTAAGTATGCTTTAAATATTAGAAAAATATGATTGTTCAAATATATGTGCAGATTGTAAGGTATATTTATAAACACTAATTATAGTTAGTTAGACCTAGAAGATCAAAGCATTGTGATGTTTGTTAAAAATGTGTTATGGTATATGATCATCATTGTCCTTGGATAAATAATTGTGTAGGAGCTAAGTAATTAATTTTATTTAATTAGAAATCATTTTGTGTTTTATTTTTTCATTATTAGTTTGTTCTTCGAATTTATTTTGTAATTCTTTATGCAATTTTCTCATTATAATTCAAATATTGTCTAAAGATGGTTTACTAATACTGAAGATTGGCTATTAATTGGAAAAAAGTTTACAATTTATTATGTCATTATTTATTGTTTACTATTTATTGTACCTTTAGGGTATTTGATATTTATAATTAAGAATTCTAATTTACATATAAACCATTAATCTATTGACTGGACAAACAACCTTTGAAAGACATAGTTTGGGTGCTCCTGGTTCAAAAGATGATAAATCAAATGAAAAAAGTGCAATAAATCGAAGTGAAGAATAATCAATGGAATCCACAGAACAAGGATAAGGTGGAACTTAATAATCAAATTATGATTAATAATAAAAAATGGAATAATCACATTTTAGTTTGGGAAATTGTTTTGAAATGTGTTTTATTAATAAAAAGAAAAAAGAATATAGTAGTGAATTAGCAACAGAATTTATTGAACTCTGAATTATTATATAAATAAAATTAAAATGCAAAATTTAGAAGAATTAAAAATAGCAATTACTGGAGCTGCTGGTAATTTAGCTTCTGCATTGTAATACTGAAAATATTGAAATGTAGTTATCCTCTTTTGGGATCTGGTTAAGTGTTTGGATCAACATAAAAATTTTCATTGTAATTATTGGAATTACCTGAAAAACTATAAGAATTAGAAGGAATCAAAATGCAAATATAAGATTGTGCATTCCCACTTCTAAATAATGTCATTGTGTCAAGTGATCCTGCAGTTGCATTTAAAGATGCAGATGTTGCAATATTTTTAGGAGCCATGCCTCGAAAACCAGGAATGGAAAGAAGTGATCTGTTATAAATGAATAAAGAAATATTTATACAATAGGTTCGATATTGAAATTATAAACACAGGGTTAAATCTTGAATGAATAAGCTAAAACTACTGTTAAAGTTTTAGTTGTGGCAAATCCAAGTAACACTAATTGTGCTACTCTGGCTCAATAGTGCATTAAAATTCCATAACAAAATTTTACATCTCTTATGTAATTAGATCATAATAGATGTGTCTCTACTGTATGACAACTTGTTTTATTTTAGCTTGCAAGAGAAGCAAATACAACTATTGACTAAATCAAAAGAGTTATCATTTGGGGAAATCACTCACTCACATAATACCCAGATATGACTCATTCTATTATTAATGGTAAATAAGCATCAGAAACATTTTCTAAAGATTTCTTAAGAAATGCTCTTATTTAACAAGTTTAATAAAGAGGAGGATAGATTTTACAGCTATCCAGAGGAGCAAGTACAATCTCAGGAGCCATTGCTGTTAAAGATCATTTAAGAACATGGTTTCTAGGTACTTCTGAAGATAATTGGACTTCCTTTGGAGTATTAAAATTTAATATCTAAGGTCATTTCTGATGGAAATCATTATGGAATTCCAAAAGGCATTTGTTTTTCATTGCCTGTGACTTGTAAAGACTTTGAATTTAAAGTTGTTGGGGATGTAGAATTAGATGATTTCTCTAAACAAAGAATTCAATTATCACTAGTTGAATTGCAAAAAGAATAGTAATGATTAATAATAAATGATAATTATTTATAAATGAATCAAAATTATGATAATGACACTATAATAATATTTGTTAAGTCTGCAAGCATGTTGATGTTATTCCTAATCATTTTATTTACAGGTAATCTTCCATACAAATCAAAGACTTTTAGGGAAAACAAAGTATAAATCCATATTATATTTTTAGCCATTGTTGTCTATATCTCAAGCTTTCTCAGGAGGATTATTTTTATCTGTTGCTCTTTTGCATTTATTGCCTGAATCACAAGAAAAATATGAATAATCCCTCAATTTTGATCAAAATTCAGAAAAAGAAATATTTCCATTTCCATTTCTAATAACCATTCTAAGCTTTGCATTAATTTTATTTATTGAAAAGATTGTGACAAATCATAAACACTAACATTCAGATGTATCAAAAGTATTATTAAAATCAGCATATTGATGTACAACCTTCTTAAAATGTTGAATTTATAATGAAATCAGATGAGAGTGTCTGTTGTAGTTAGATTGGAGCATGTTGTAATCAAGTTGAAAGTTAGGCTTAAGAAGATTTACTAAGAAAAGCAATATCCTCTTAAGTAAAGATGGCATAAAGAGTAGGATTTAATGAAATATAAAAAAAAACTAAAAATAAAAAAGCTAAATCTTCTAATCTAACTCCTTATTTATTGCAATTAGCTGTAGGAATTCATGCAATCTTCGAAGGACTAGCTATAGGAATAGAATCAAATCTTAGTAGATGCATTGGTATTGCATTAGCTGTATTTTGTCATAAATGGGTAAATATTATTTAAATTTGAATAAGGCTGAAGGTCTAACTCTAGGATTGACATTTAAAAAAGCTAAAGTTCCTCATTCGAAAGCCAAGAAGCTTATTGTACTATAAGCTTTGATGAATCCTTTAGGAATTTCTATAGGGTGGATTTTATCATCAAATAGAGTTATTATAGTGAGTATCTTTTATGCAATATCTGCTGGAACATTTTTATATATTTCTACAATTGAAGTGATTGTAGAAGAGTTCAATGTAGCTAGATACAAACTCCTTAAATTCTTAGCATTTTTAATAGCTATCGGATTTATTAGTTCAATTTGGCTATTGGAGCAGATTGATTTTTGAGGATACTAATTTATGGTATAAATAATTCAATTCGTGTCTAAGCTTTTTCTTTAAATAGTTCTTTGTTATATAGGACCTTAAGCGGCTTCTAAAAGACTAAATACTTTTCTGATTTTGGAATAAATCTTAAAGACAACCAATTGAGAGTAATCCAAAACAACTTTAAAAATTGAAAATGAGTATATATTATAAATATATATTTATAAATGTGATATATTTTAAAAATTTAATGATTATTTGTTGGATATATATAAGAAATTGAATGTATTTGTTAAATTCTAGGTCTTCTGGATAATTAAATTTAATTAACTTTAATGATTTTTAGATTAATATTTGGTATTGTCTGTATTAAGCTAAATTAATTTATAAAGATTCATATTCAGTTAGATTGGCAAAAATTTGTTTAAAAGCACTATAAACTAATTCAATATATTTTTTTATTTGATCAAAATATTTGTAAAATATTTAGGAAATGTTTTCTTGATTTACAGATTCCACTTCATGTGATAAAATTAAGCATCTTTTATAAATCATTTTCATTGAATTTTCAATATTTTAGTCAATGCAATTTTTATATTCTTAAATATATTTTTTGAATTATCATCATTTTTATTACTAATAACTTAAATATAATTAGTAAAGCGTGATGATATAACAGATTAATGAAATTGATAACATAATTGAAATGTGAAATTTATCAAATTCCCTAATTGATACATTCAGATTAATGTAATATTCAAACTAAAATAGAGCCAATATTCTATTTCATTCAAACTCACATATACTAATTATATAAAAATTAAGTATTAATAATTTTTTTGTAAATTTCACATTTTTTTATCATAAATGCCCCATGGACTAAATTACAAAAAATATTCTTATATATGAGTTTTAATCTAGATAATTGACCAAAATTATAAAATTAAATCTTATTTCATCTATGCGTCAATTATCTAAGATCGATCAAATATCAAATTGATATTTAATTTATTCAAAATTCTTTAATGAATTTAATTGTTTGCTTTATTTCATTAATAATAGAAATTAGCTTAGTGCTTGTTAGAAAATTAAAATTTTACCAATTGTGAAAAACTTTATGCTCGTCTTCAGAGAAGCTTTAACAAATATTATTTCCATTCAAAATTTATTTTAAATAAAGAATGAATTAATTATTAATAATTCTTAATACAAACTTGAGTATTTATTTTTTTTTAAATATTAAGACTAAACACCGAATTTTTTAAACTCTGATTATCGAAAAATTTAGAATATTATTATATGATTATGTTGTTGATTAGATTAATTCTCATCAAATAAGTAATTGGATGGAGAGATTACAGATATTGGTATTCTAATTTCGGAAGTGGCACAAGCTATTGTCCTGAATTACATACATTTATGCCAGGAATGGATCCACATAAATGTGTTTGTAATTATTGGCCTTATAAATAGCTTATGCTGTGATTTGTCAAGGTGTAACTGAAATAGAAGTAAAAACTGAAGTAAACGGAACTTAACATATATGCCATCCAAGATTTTAACCATGGGGAGCTGGAACTCCAACTCTAGACATATATTCAGCTCATTGCGGATTTGAATAAGGCGTTTCACTTGTAATGGAGTAGCTACCAGATGGATTTTATAAATATTATTGTAAATGTAAGTATTAACGACAATTACTTTAGATTTTACAGATGAATTACATAAGAAATGTTTGATAACCGTCCTCCAGCAAGGTGTATTTCGATGTTACATTTGCAAACGTCCATTTATTGGATCTGGTTTTGATTGTGATTCAATAGAAAAGGGATATGATCAAAGATATATAAGTCCCTCTGAAAGATGTATTACAAAATAATTATTAAAGTGTGCGATGGAAATTGTTTGGAATGCGATCCAACTAAATTGTGTACTGAGTGTTTAGAAGGGTATGCAAGATCATCTGTTGATGATAAAAAATGTAGTTTATGTATTTTATAACATATTATATTTATATAGATTGTTCTGGTTATACAAGTTGTTATTTTGAAAATAATAATCTTCTTTTTAATGGATAATGCAGAAATGGATTTATATGGTTTTTGGAATAATGTCAAAGTAATGATATTAGTATAATTATTTTTTTAGGTGTTTACCCTTGTCGATACTTTAGCTCATCGTCTACAAATATGTATACATGTGACAGTTGCACTAAAGGATCCGTAAGGTTGCTTGGATTTTTGAATTCATTTGAATATCGCTGTTATTTATGGGATTGGAATTGTGACATTTCAAGATAATAAATGATACTTGAGAGTGCATAAACCCCTCAAAAGTATTATTATACAACATGTACTTTATGCGACCCAGGATACTATTACTCGATTTTATCAAAAAGATGTGTAAGTAAAAACGAATTTTAGAATTTATTAAAGCTCTTAAAATTTCTAGTTGTCTCTTATTAGACCCTTAAGAAATTAAGTGTATCGCTTGTAGCTTTAATTATGCATTATAACCAGATGGCACATGCAAATATAGAAAATGTGATCCCAAATGTTTCACTTGTTTGGATAATAATCCAACCTTTTGTACCACTTGCAACAGTAAGGAAAATTAAATAGCTGATAATGGTATCTGCAAATGCAAACCATACTATGGTTTTTTAGAAGGAGTTTGCACACTTTGTGAAGATATTTATTGTTATAATTGTGAATATAATGGTTTTTATGAATGTATTTCATGTAAACCAGGATCAAACAGAATATTAATAAATAAGGAGCAGTGTATTTGTTAACCAGGTACGTACGACCCTGAAAATGATGATTAGATTTGCCTTTGTAAATTTATTAATCATTTTAGCTTGTGATATAACTTGCCAAACTTGCTTTGGTCCATCATTTTAAGAATGTAATGATTGTGTAGAAGAAAGTATTTCAAACAGAATTTAAATTGGCAATGTTTGTCAATGTAAAACTGGATATTCTGAATATGAAGTTAAGGAATAAACCTGTGGAAGTATTAATTATAATTAATTTAAGAATGCCATGCAAAATGCCTAACATGTTTCTAAGCAGCTGACGGATCTGAAAATCAATACTGTCTTACTTGTATACCTGGATAAAATCGTGTTTTATCAGAATCTTTTAAGTGTGATTGTGAAGTTAATTATAGTGATTTTGGGGGAACTTTAGAAGTTTGTGCAGGTAAATTGATAAATTATACATAGTTTGTCATTACACATGTGGAAATTGTTATGGTGTTGAAGCAACAAATTGTTCATAATGCTCAGAAAGTTCTTACCGAGAATTAACACCTTTAGGAGAATGTTTATGCAAATAATCATATTATGATGATAATATAGAATGTTAAAGTACTTAATTAAATTTCATTGATAGTGTGTCATCATTCTTGTTTAAAATGTGCAAATAGTACTGAGAAAGATGCATGTTTAGAATGTCCTTCTAGTAGAACAGCTTAATCATCAGGTAGTTACTTTGAATGCCTTTGTACTGATTCAAATACATTTGATGATGGATTTTCACAATAATGTCAATAATGTGATTAATCGTGTAAAACATGTTATGGTCCACTTTCATCTAATTGCCTAACATGTGATACAAATTATAGATAACTGGATTTATCGTATTGTGTTTGTCCAATACAATAGTATGATATTGGATAATTACAATGTGCACGTAGTTTATATTCATTATTAATAGAATGCCATTATTCTTGCCACAGATGTTACGATAATAATGCTGAAAGCTGTATTATGTGTTCTTTCGACCTTAATCTTAGAGTTTTGAAAGGCAATACTTGTAAATGTGCAGATGGATATTATGAGGAAGATGGAATAGCTTAATGTTAAAGTAATTATTAAAATTACTAATAATTTATTAGAATGTTCTTATAAATGTGAAATATGTGACATTCAACCAGATAAATGTTTGAGTTGTCCATTAAATTCGATGCGTATACTTGATCCAATAAAAGGATGTAATTGTCCAGAAGAATACTTTGATAAAGAAAATGAGACTACTTGTCTAAGTAATTTAAATATAAATTAAAGAATGTCATTTCAAATGTAAAACATGTAAAGGAATTGAACAAAATGAATGTCTCTCCTGCAATTCTATTTAACATAGAGAACTTAAAAATAGTTTATGTTAATGCTTACCAAATTACTTTGAGATGGAAGTTTAAGAATGCGCAAGTAACCATTAGATCTAAAATAGCTTGTAGCCCATTGTGTTATGAATGCATTAACAATTTTTAAAATTGTACTTCATGCAAAGATGATAGATATTTAGATGGAAATACATGCAAATGTAAAACCAAATTTCATGGAGCAGCAATTAGTACATTCGATTTTAATGGAATGCTTATATGCTAGAGTATTATAACAAATAATAAATAGAATGCCATTATTCATGTGGTACATGCATGGGAATGGATGAAGGAAATTGTATTACTTGTATGGATACTGATAACAGATTCTAAGTAGGAAATACTTGTGTTTGTAAAGAAGGATACTTTGATACAGGATTGCCGACTTGTGAAAGTATAAATGATTGCTATAAATAGAATGCAGTTATAAATGTAAAGGATGTTAAAAGTATTCTGACAGATGTATTTCTTGTCAGGATAACAGTTTGAGATTATTAGTTTCAGGTTTCAATAGATGCCAATGTATTCAAGGTTATTATGATGATGGATAGAATGATGTTTGTTAAAGTATACATGATTTCTAATTATTAAAGAATGCCATTTTTCATGTCTCAAATGTAATGATATAGATACAAAATGTGAAATATGCTCAATTCAATCAAATAGAATATATAATGATCTGCTTTTTTCATGTGATTGTAATATTGGATATTATGAAAATGGAGTTGAAAATTGTTAAAAATGCCACTATTCATGTTAGAGTTGCAATTCTGGAGATGCAAATTCGTGTATTTCTTGTATAGATGTGAATACTACTAAAAGAGTATATTATAATAATTAATGTAAATGTTTATTTGGATATTTTGATGATGGTTCATCAATATCATGTT